ATATATGACGTCAATCCATAGATATATCGACTTTGTGCTCGGTCAATATGCTTTTCTGTGAAGTCGATATATCTATGGATCGACCTCAACAAAGGGCTATATTTCAAAGATATTCCCCCATGTATCGAAACTAATCACATTTTCTTTTTGAGTATTTTGTATGCAGGTTCTTATAAAATATTGGTTTATTTATAATTTTAAGATCTACACAACAAGGATGTTGTTTCAGAATTTGCTTTGAAGTGCTTATAAACTTATTTGAATCCACGAGAGAAAATAGTGCTAAGGATATTCACCTAAAAATGTGATTTGTCCTGCAAACAAATTTTAGATTTTTAAATCTATAAATGTTTTCTATTTCAAGCAGTAATTAGAAAACAGATTTTGAAAGAAAATTCACAAAACATTGTACAAATCAGGTTATTTTTACAGGATTGCCGTGCTGTTGGTATACAAATAAGTCAATTTTAGCGATGACCCAATGTGCGAATTAACAGTGCAATTTCCCAACGTTAAACCCTTGTCACTCCGGGCTGCGTCATCACAAATACCAATCACGTCCTTACAAATACCAAAAGTTACTGTCCTTTAAAAAAGGACTGCAATACGTGGATCATATGCATGTGTTTACTACCGATATTCAATTTAAGAAAAATTTTAAGTTTGTAAATATTCATTTAGGTTTGTTTGCATATTCTACAATGATCTCCCTTTTTTGACTGATAGTATTTTCATAGCAATATTGTAAAATTTAATCTCCGATTAGCCTTAAGTTTTGTCATTTTGAAAAATCGGGCTATTTTGATGCATTTCACCCATTATAATGGCCGGGACTTGGCATCTGTTCTGGATTTATGCGGAATAAATCTATCATTGGAAATTAAAATGGATCTGATGGTACATGTGTAGCACAGCAATGTAATTCTCAGATTTTATCGGACCCCTCCCACACGGAAAACCAGTGCTTCAGGTCTCTATCAAGCTGTATTTGAATCGCTGTATATGACGGTGAAGACTTGTCCTTACTTTTTAAAAAGGAAAACAAGACGTTAATTAATGCTATTTAATTCAAATTGTTAATTTATCTATAGGCCATAGTATTTAAAGTTTGCCAATGTTGAGTTTGTATATTCGTAGGCGTCGGAAGAGGGGGGGGGGGCTTTTTTGCAGATATAGATAATGTAGGAATTGAATATTGGGGTTACCATTTTTTTGTTTTGCACCCCGTACTTTCAATTAACCGCCCCACTTTCAATTTGCTTCCGACACCTATGTATATACATTGTAAAAGTATGTGTATAAGAGAGAAATCGGTTCTCTCGAATTGAAAAATTATATAAATACAATATGCAGATTTAAAAGCGAGATTAGCAAATGATTGACATATTCTAATTTAAATAATGCGAATTATTTTACAGGCAAGTTGTCTTAAGGGCGAACTCTCTAGCTAGACCGACTTGTCTGTCTAAACCTGGTTACGTACAGCGCCATGACAACACGGCAAGATCTCCAATGAACGCGGCGGTAGGGTTGTGTAGGGTGTCCTACAACGTCAGGGGACGGTGCGCACTTTGAGAATGCAAAAAGTGTGCGCCGTGGGATTGTGGTCTGATAAAGGTCATGTCACACGTCACCAAGCTGCGTCCGCAGGGAGTTATTAGTACTACGACGTTGTTGAATGTGTAAAGTTTGTGTTTATAGCCCTGATGGATACTACAGCTGGTCCACGTAGAACTGAACCTTCTTTGTAAACGTATGCATAGCTAGAGAAGCAGAATAGATCTTTCACAAACCATGCCCTGTCTCTTGTTCTTCGGCATCGTCTTTGTTCCTTCTATACTCGTCATAGATTTCATCTATTGTCATCTGCAGTACATATGTACATTTATATCAACTTTCTCCATGCACTTCTGAAGCCTTTGAATTGCTTGTGTAGTTGTAATATAGAATTTTTTAATATTATTTTCATTTTTTACCTTTATAATAAATATTACTGATCATTTCTATTTTCATCATTATTTTGTACTTTTAACAAAACATAAAATAAAATATAAGATAAAACATTTTATCTCATACGTGTTGGTGATACAAGCCGTTGGATAAACTTGTGCTTTATCAACGGGTAGATGCTTTATCAAGAGCACTTCCGGTTTTGACACGATCCCTCGCTTCAAGATTTTATTTTATTGAAACTTTTATTTGTGAAAATTGTTGCCCTTATAAAATGAATGATAAAGAGCAGTAATATCGTTAAAAGCAAAAAAAAAAAAGACTGGTATATGTCAAAGAAGTGTCTTATTTTATCAAGGAACCCGTTGGCTATTTGAACAGATGTTAACATCCCCCCCCCCTTAAATCGTTTTCGGAGAAAGTAAAGCCTACCAGTTAACTTGTTGTTATGAGACTCCTTTGACATCTTTAACAATGCTTTCTTATATTATACTACGTATGCCTACCTAGTAATCTAATTGTAACTTACCATGGATCAGCAAACAACCTAGACAAAGTCTAGGCTAGGCCCCTAGCCTTGCCTAGCACGATTTGTACTGCCATCGTAAAAAGAGTTGATTTTAACGATCCCCATAATCCTAACAACTGTCAGTCAGAAGTTCTTTTGATGTACAGCTCCAACAATTGTCACATGATGTTTTCAAAGACGCAGATAGCAAATATTCTAAATTTTGAACTCGATCTACTTTCTCTCGACGCATGTAAACATCAACGGTGCTACGTCATCAAGTTATACGTCATCAATTTGATTTTGGCAGTCATTCATGTAGTTTCGCAGGGGAAGTCTCAAAGTTTTATTAAAATTAAAGTCGTATGAGATAAATAGAACATCTATAATTGTGTGATTTGATATTGGCTTTATCCAACTCGTTGAAATGGTGTATATTCGCTCGGCAAGCCTCGCGAATATATACACCATTTCAACTCGTTGGATAAAGCCAATATCAAATCACACAATATAGATATCCTCTATTTATCAGCGACATCATTCACATGAATTAAAAATAACAAAGGGTCTAACACACAAACCCCGGCCTGTAAAGGTGCCGGTAAAGATAACAAATTCCTATACATAACTCTTTGCATTCTGTTTTCTAAATTACTTTTTAACCAGCGATACATATTACCATTAATACCATATATCTTTAGTTTAAATAAAAGGTTTATATGCCAGACAAGGTGTTTAAAAAGAAAAAAAAAAAAAAAAAAAAACGGCAAGGGTTATGCTGCAGTTTGGAAAATTCTTTAAAATTGTTTGATTTTCTTTGAAAAAATAAATTAATTAATGGCATGAAATTCATCATTAACCTACTGAATAAATAGCAGGTTTTGCTTTGATATAACAAGTGACAGGTTAAATAATCCGATTTTAACGTGACTCTGTTACGCCTCCACGTCACTATTACGGTTAGTTTGAAACATATATCTAGGCTGCTCCTGACGACAGGCAAGACTCCTTAGGGAAAGGGTTTTACAAAAAACGGCACACCAACCCGTTGTTGCCAGTGCCCTTACATGTACTTAGACATGAAGAAGCTAATTTTGAAACCTCGTTGAACTCCCGTCAGTCAACCATACCAAGATTGCACGACATTTATATTGTCTGAAAATATTGTGGAACGATGTGCTTACCTAAAGTACATCAAATGGTACAACAAGATGTGTTGACAAAGTTGTCTCAATAGCACTTTCATTGTTTTATGTCATATTTTTACCGTTGAGTAATTTCTAACAAGGATTTTAGTGCATAGAACACAAGATTCCCATCCCAGTTTTATGTGTCATGCGGTCCAAAAAGTGCATGTTATGTTACCCTTATTCTATTTTCCTTTCAGATTAGTTTGACATAAGTGTTTTCTAATGGACTTTTGTGAGAAGCACTAACTTTTACAGTTGATGGTTTAATTTTACTTTTAAACCTGTATCATGTACAGGCTAGGGTACAAAATTGATAATAGATAAGGAAACCTTTCATATGATTAAAGGTATGATGTTAGTAGCACTAACATGTTAAGGTAGCAAGTTGAGGGTAGAGGGTTTGTTTTCTCAAGGGCTAGTTTTTGTGCTTTGAAATAGTCCGTTATTTCCGTTCAACAGTGCTTCTCACAAAAGTCGATTTTTATGCTCGAGAAATATTTCTTTTTTTGCTTTAGACCTAAAATTTATTCTGTTAATATAAATACATAAAATAAAGCAATATTTCATTGATACAAATACATGTAATATAAAATAGTTGCATATATCTATATAACACATGTATGATATATAAAATTACAATTTTGATGTTGTATTATTTTAAAAGCAGAACAATTATTATTTCAGATAAAAAAAATGATTTAAGAAAAAACATCGATATGACACTTTATAGTCATTCATCTATAATAATGTTTAAAAAAAAAACTTTGAAAGTTTGAAGTAAAACTGAATTCTAATGGTAATTTGATACGGGAAATTTTTTTTCACAGATTACAGGTCACATAAATGCCTCAAACAACACACTACAATAAATGATAATAACAAAACTAAATTTTAGGTATATGGAAAGGCTTGTATGAGATGCAATGAGAATTGCTGCAAATGCAATCATTATTAAGTGGAATTTGTGCTGATATTTATTCACATCCTTCAATAAGCCAAAACTTCTTCTTCGATCTATTAACTCCTTTACATAAAGAAAATCGTACTCTGTATATGGATCTCGGTATAAATAATCGCATTTCAGTTTGTGGCCATCGCTGTTCTTTCAAATCAGGGAATGTTCTTTGAAATTGTCAAAGCTTTCAAACATTCTTTATTTCGATAACACTTCTTGTACTTTTCTCAGAGGCGTTTGATGTTATTGCACAACAACAATATCTGCTTTCAATCAGGTCCAATCAAACTTTCTTTCTCTTGAGCTGTTTATCTTAAGCCAGGTAGCCCTCCTCAATTAACCTGTACCCCAAGTGTTGTAGGGTCTCTCTGACCACGGGGGATATGTTGGGGTCATTATACCGTGCCCCGCTTCGGTAACACTTGGAGATGAGGTTGTTTTTCCACCTTTCTGTGGGTCCTGCACACCTCAGCCATCTCCCCACCTGTCGCTCATCATCAGGGCTCCTCCTTCCTCGATAAAATCTACAGCGGAAATTGCTTCAGTCAATAAGATGGGTTAAAAACTTGCTTTATTAATTGATTTGAGTGTTTCTAGCTTTAAATATTGAAAAAGACTTTGCAATCTTTGCCCACATCCTCAAATGTAATAAATATTGTAAAAAATTTAAAATACTTATAAGCAAATGCAGAAATTTCCATTTCTTGAATGGATCATATCTTGTCAAAAACTGGGATAATTTTTGTTTATTTGTGGAAAATCATTGTATATTTTAAGGGTGTGCCACTAGAACCACCTGTACAAGTCATTTTATACATAGCTACAGTACCACTGGAACCACCTGTACACATCATTTCATACATTCCTGCAGTACAACTGGACCGATCCGAACAGATTAATTTATATTTTCCTGCAGTACCACTGGAAACACCTGTTAAGATTAATTTGACATTTTTATTTACCTGCAGTACCACTGGAACCAGCCGTAGGGGTCCTGTTTGTGGATCCACCCACTCTCCTCCCACATCTCCAGGCTCCCTCCACACTTCACCTTGTATGTATTTAATGACTCATTGTAGTTTGTAGAGGTAACCTGTCACAAAAAATACTAATTACTTGATGACTCATAAAGAGTTACCTACTTTATTCAGTTTATAAATCAACAAAAGCAATCACAGTGATACATAGTGCAAATACCTGTATGCACAACATCAAAACATTGTTCTTTCTCTGTATTTGATAGACATCAATAACAAAATAACTGATTTTCCTACATGTCTAAGCTTTTTCATTTTAATTTTCCAGGATCAATTGTTGAGTTAAAAATTTATAAAAAAAATAATTCCTAATAACTTGATAGTACTATAATTACAAGAATATCAGTGGTTTGTATTCATTCACCTGTTTTTTGACGTTAAGACCCTCTGTCCAGTCTATGGGGAGTTCTTTGAAGGCTTCATCTTTATACTGTTTACCTGAAGTAAGACAAAGTCAAGTCATGGATCTGCATGTTTCAAGTGGACTTTTGGCTCATTCCTGTTGCCATTCCTTGTTAAAGTATAGAGAATTCTAAGTCTCGGTGTGACAAAAATCACAGTTTTATTATTTTTTTCTTTCCATCACCAGCAATTATGCATTATGGCAATTTTATGGAACCAAATCTAACTGGTTCAGGAGACACTATTGGGTACATTTCTAGCACTTTATAGCAAAGAATTTGAAAAGAGTCTGACAGCAGTGTCAGTTCAAACGTATTTTGATGACCTTTTATTCAAGTGTAGACTTTGTTTTTGATTTTACCCATTTCACGTGCACGCACGTGCATACATTAGCATGGTGACCATACCTTCTTGTAGAAGTCTATTACATCAATCTATGTTCTAAATCCCACCCTGTTTGGTTGAAAACCAAGGGAGTTATAGCTGTTTAAAGTTTCAGCCAATCAGATTGCAGTGCACGTACACGCACGTGTATGTATGTACAGGGTGACCACACCTTCTTATAGAAGTCTATTATCTGTATATATCTTTGTTCTGAATCCCAACCTGTTTGTTTGAAAACCAAAGAAGTTATAGCTGTTTAAAGTTTCAGCCAATCAGATTGCAGCATTCGTACAGGCACTTGTATGCATGTGCATGGTGACCATACATTCTTGTAGAAGTCCATTATATATATCTATGTTCCAAATCCCATCCTGTTTGGTTGAAAACCAAGGGAGTTATAGCTATTTAAAATTTCAGCCAATCAGATTGCAGCGCACGTGCATGCGCGTGAGAACTTGCCATATTGGCCATGTCATCTTGCTTATACCACTAATACATCCTTACATTATGAGTTTCAAAACATTTCATCAAAAAATAGAAAAGTTAGGGAAGTATACATTATATTGGTCATTTACGTGTTGCACGTGCGCGCTCTTGCAAGCACTTGCGCGCAAAATGACATTCGTTCCGCAAATCTACAAAACATGTCTACTGACCCTAAAAACATTTCACCTTATTTGGATGTGTAGTTTACGAGATCATTCGCGGACAAAAAAGTGCCCAAGAAGAAGAAAAATAAATAGAAACGATCTCGTTGCGAGCAACGAGTAGGTCTTCCGTCCGAATTTTCGATGAGATGAGATATGATTTTGACTATGATCTTTGTCAAAACACAATGATATCATGCTCTCTCTTTTGACCATTTTTTTTTAATTTAGATAAAATCATCAATGAGTTATAGATGAAAATCTTTTGGCCCCTCTGGACACTTTATTTTAGGGGTCAGCTCCTTTTTCTTCATTTCAAATGATACGGCTTGTAACTTAATGTTATTGTTCAACGACTATTCAGAAATTTCTTTTCGTTTTTGAGCCATGCAGAATAGAAATATATAGAGGCCAGCCCTTCAAGTCCTTAATGGGGCCGTTTTACAAAAATTGAATGGTTGTGTATTGTTTATAATATGAATATAAAGATCTCTTATTCAATATTCCTTATCAAAATATTTCTCCCTTTGGAGATAAAAAGAAGCAAAGATTTAGCATCTTGGCTCCTTGCGGCCCTTTTTACGTAACATATGATCATACTTTCTCAATGTTTTGTTTTATATTGTTGAGATGAACATTTTTGCTTTTAGAAAAATATATCAGAATCTTGATAGTTAAAGAGGTTTAAATTGAAACGTTATTGTCCCTCTATGCCCCTTATTTGAGGGGTCATACCCTTTTTCTCCTCATTAAATGAAATAACTTGTTATTCTGAACAACTTTTATTATATATCTGTTAACCAAATTTACAGTTACAAAGATATCAAAGAAAACGTGTCAAATTTTGCAAGATATTTGTGAATCTATTTTTCGAGCCCAGGCGAGCTTCAAATATGACACGTGTGCATTGGAAAACAGTGGTCACGTTTTGTACTTACTTTATAAATTTTTCTTAAGAAATTTTAATAATAACTATGATTTAAGCTATGTGTGTTTTCGTGATGCAAAACAAAAGTTGGTAAATATTGTACTTTTCTACTTATTAAAGAAGACTTGTAAGGAGACATTGGATTATCAATGTAGTTTGACGCAGAATTGCAACGAACCTACGACGCGACAATCCAAGTATCCCTACACATTTCGTTGCTCCTTATGTAACTTTCCTTCAAGCAAACGCTCAGCTGCCTCTGTAAACCCCTATTGCGAAATGTCGGAATTGACAGAGACCGCCGCTATTATGGTCCCGCTTCAGACTTTTGAATGTTAATATCTCGAGTTCGAATCCATCAATTTACAAACAAAATTATATATTCAGCCTAATAACAAATGTTTCTATCAACCATACTAATATTATTTGAAAATATTAAACAACAAAAAATTTCAAAAATTCGACTTTTTTTCTTTGCAAGCCGTTACGACAGGAAGTAGAGACGACGTACAAAAAGTCGCAACTTGGAAAGTACTTTTCAAGATTTATAATCCCTGAAAGTTTCACAGTGATATCTTTTACCGTTCTTGAGATTATCCGCGAACAAAATGTCATTTAAAAATCCGAAAATTGTCCGTAACTTGGCACCAAAAAATAATTTCCAAAAAATCTCTCGGATAAAATAACTTTATATCACAACACATTGTTCCTGCAAATTTTATGAAAATCCATCCAGTATTCTTTGAGTAATCGCGTACACAAAATTAGATGGTCAGAAAAATAATGATTAAAACGATCTCAGGCGAGCTTCAACACTTTATGCACTGGAAAGATACAGACTCAAAAAAGCAATTTAGCAATCCTTCCTCTACCTTCACTGAAAATCACAAGTCAATTTCTTCATTGGTTTTTAGTGATTGCCCGGAAATGCTGACCCTCTGAAAATCAGAAAATCGTCCATATCTCACGACCGGAAGTGACGACGTACATATAAAACATTTCCAATAAGGTTCAGACCAATATCTTTCAGATCTGAAAGTTACGAGAAAATCGATCAAGCCGTTTCCGAGAAATCGCGTGCACAAAATCGGTAAGAAAAAAAAAAGAATTATAATGATAGGTCTTGTGATTTTGAAGATTTGTTGTTCACCACTTATTCAGAGATTTCTATTCGTTGTTGAAATATGTTAAATGGAAATATTTAGGGGCCACCCTTACAAGTCCTTAATGGGCCCGTTTTACAAAAATTCAAAGTATGCATATTGTTTAGAAAATTATTCTGACCATCTTATGTTCAGTATTGCTTATCTAAATATTTGCCCTTTTTGAGATATAAACCGTCAACGATTTGACATTATGGCCCCAAGTGACGCCTTATTACGTAATATATGAACAAAATTTTATCATGTATTGTTGTAAATTGTTAAGATGAATACTTTTGCTTAAGAAATGTATATCAAAATATTGATCATTAGAGAGTTAAAGATGAAAGACTTTTGGCCCCTCTGAGCCCCTAATTTGAGGGGTCAGCCCCTTTTTCTTGATATCAAATGAAAGGTTTTTTGATTTTGAAGATTTTTTGTTCAACAAACATTCAGAGATTTCTTTTCGTTGTTGAGATATGCTAAATGGAAATATTTAGGGGCCACCCCTTCAAGTCCTTAATGGGGCCAATCTACAAAAATTCAAAGTATGCATATTGTTAGGAATATTATTTTGACCATCTCTTGTACAATATTGCTTATCAAAATATTCCCCCTTTTTGAGATATAGAGCGTCAAATATTTGACATTCTGGCCCCTTGTGACCCCTAATTACGTAACATATGATCAAAGTTTTATGATATATTGTTGCAAATTGTTAAGATGAATACTTTTGCTTCAGTAATGTATAACAAAATACTGATCATTGGAGAGTTAAAGATGAAAGATTTTTGGCCCCTCTGAGCCCATAATTTGAGGGGTCAGCCCCTTTTTCTTGATATCAAATGAAAGGTTTTTTGATTTTGAAGATTTTTTGTTCAACACCTATTCAGAGATTTCTTTTCGTTGTTGAGCTATGCTAAATGGAAATATTTAGGGGCCACCCGTACAAGTCCTTAATGGGGCCAATCTACAAAAATTCAAAGTATGCATATTGTTAAGAATATTATTCTGACCATCTTTCGTTCAATATTGCTTATGAAAATATTCCTCCTTTTTGAGATATAGAGCGTCAAAGATTCGACATTCTGGCCCCTTGTGACCCCTAATTACGTAACATATGATCAAAATTTTATGATATATTGTTGCAAATTGTTAAGATAAATACTTTTGCTTCAGTAATGTATAACAAAATACTGATTATTAGAGAGTTATAGATAAAATACTTTTGGCCCCCTTGAGCCCATAATTCGAGGGGTCAGTCCCATTTTCTTGATATCAAATGAAAGGTCTTGTGATTTTGCACATTTTTTCTTCAATACATCTTTTACCGACCTTTAGATTATTCGCGAACAAAATGTCAATTTAAAATCCGAAAATTGTCCGTAACTTGGCACCAGAAAGGAATTTCCAAAAAATCTCCAGGATATAATAACTGCAGATAGCAACACATTGTTCCTGCAAATTTCATAAAAATCCATCCAGTAGTCTTCGAGAAATCACGTGCACAAAATTTGATGGTCAGAAATATAATAATTATAACGAGCTCAGGCGAGCTTCAACACCTTTTGCGCTGGAAAGATATAGACTCAAAAAAGCAATTTAGCAATCCCTCTTCTACCTTCACTGAAAATCTCAAGTCAATATCTTCATTCGTTTTTAAGTGATTGCCCAGACAAGCTGACCCTCTTAAAATCAGTAAATCGTCCATATCTATGACCGGAAGTGACGACGTACATATAAAAAATTTCCAATAAGGTTCAGACCAATATCTATCAGATCTGAAAGTTTCGTGAAAATCGACCGAGCCGTTTCCGAGAACTGGCGTGCACAAAAATCGGTAAGAAAAAAAAAATTAATAATAATAATAATAGGGAAAAAGAAACAGAACGAAAACAATAAG